CAGCGAATTGCTGTTACTGCCGTGTACGGCTTTCTTAAAGGAAGTGTGCGTCAGGTTCAAAATTGCCAACGTCCTCTTCTTCATGCCTCTTTCTTCATCTCAATTGCGCCTGGCACTTGTTTTGGCTGTGCCATCGACTAAAATAGATCTAGTACTATTAAATAGCTAGCTAGCAAGATCGTACCGTGTAAATCGACTTTGCATTCTAGCCGTAGTCTACTATAGCTAGCTACGGTAGTAGACAAGAAAGAGGAGAATAATGAGCAACTCCTTCAGCAATCCACCGGCAGTCTCTCCTTATTTTTCAGGAGCCCCCAACTCGGCCCAACGACAAGATCAGGGACCCACATTGCGTCGCAGAAACCCCACGGTTTCGGGTTCGGACAATGGACACGGTATTGATCGAAAGCCTTCTGGGCGAGCAGGAGGTTCTGTGGTCCAGAAGATGGATTTTATGTTTCCAAAAGTTCATTCGGACTTTACAGTCCAAACAGATCGTGGAGGAGCGGCGTCTTTGGTTGCCTATATTTTGATTGCGATTCTTCTTCTTGCCGAGACTTTTACATGGCTGGGTCAAAACAGAGCCACCTCCGAGCACATTTCCGTCGACACGAGTCTAGGGAAACGAATGCGTGTCAACATCAACATTACATTTCCAGCTTTGGCCTGTGAAGATCTCCACGTGGATGCCATGGATGTGGCTGGAGATTCTCAAATCAATGTGGCAGATACCATGGTGAAACGAAAGCTTCATTTGGATGGACGGCCTCTGTCCAAAGAGGAAATTAAGGTGGAAACAAACGCTCATAGGCAACACCAAGAAACCAAGGAACGACTTCTCAAAGAAGCACTGCCAGAAGACTATTGTGGGCCTTGCTACGGTGCCCAGGATACCGACGAACAGTGTTGTAATGCCTGCGACGATGTCATTGATGCCTACAGTAAGAAAAAATGGAGAACTGATGCTCTCTTTCTCACTGCAGAGCAATGCATACGAGAAGGAAGAGATAAGAGAGAACCAAAACTTATGACGAAAGGACAAGGGTGCCAGCTATCAGGATACATGACAGTTAACCGCGTAGCAGGAAACTTCCACATTGCAATGGGAGAAGGAATCGAGCGCAATGGACGACACATTCATACCTTTGTGCCAGAGGATGCACCAAATTTCAATGCATCACATACAATTCACGAGCTCACTTTTGGACCAGATGGACACCAAAACAATGGATCCCCGCTCAATGGCGTCTCCAAAATCGTCAAGGAAGAACATGGTACAACGGGGCTCTTTCAGTACTTTATCAAAGTTGTACCTACCAACTATGTAGGTATGGACGGTCTTGGTGATGAGGGTGACGCCGACGCCGCAAACAAACAAAAAACAACGAAGGAATGCCTGTCTTCGAGACAAACAGGTACTTCTTCACGGAGAGATTTCGACCTTTAATGGGAGAAGAAGAAGTATCCGACGAAAAACAGGAAGAAAACGAGAACGACAAACGAAGAGTGGCGAATGCAGGTCATGGCGGAGGGCATTCCAACAAGGATCATCACAAAATTCAAAACTCGGTCCTTCCTGGTGTCTTTTTCATCTACGAGATCTATCCTTTCGCAGTTGAAATATCACAGAACAGCGTCCCTTTCACACACTTGCTGATTCGATTGATGGCCAGCGTTGGCGGCATTTTCACGATTGTCAAGTTGGCAGATGCCTTCTTGGATGACAGAGACAGGCGACGGGGTCGCTAAACGTTGGATCTTTTTCTGGTATAGCTAGCTAACTTGGTTCACGTTGAAGTATAGGAGCGAAATGATAGAGAGTGGAAACTTGCTTACCGTGGCGTTTAGAAAGGAAAGCATTTCCCCACGGCTGTGCTTGCCTTCACCTGTTCAGCCTGATCGGTACTGTATCTAGATACCGGTACGGGGCAGCGGCGACTGCTAAATTGACAGGAAGACTGCCCACTGTCCGTAATCAGAACATTGTTTCATGTAGGAATCTACACCAACCAATTACTGCTTACTAATTATACTCGTGCCAGTCGGAAGTCGGAAGAACTACTAGCTACTGCGGGGAGCATTAGTGTCACTGAGATATATATTTTTGCAATCAACAGAAGTTCTAATACTAAGACACCGCTCAAATGGCATTCCCTGAATGTCGACAAAAAGAGAGCGCAACTGGCACAGCTTTTATTTGGCCATGGGGTGCTTTGAAATGTACTCAGCAGCATCACCAATGCTGGCAATGGCATCTGCTTCAGTGTCTGGGATTTCAATGGCAAATTCATCCTCAATGGCCATGACAACTTCCACAATATCCAAGGAATCAAGTCCCAAGTCATCGGCGAATTTGGTCTCGGCCGTTACCTTGCTGGGATCCACTTGATCAAAATTCTTGACAACCCCCATGATGCGATCAACGACTTCGCTCTCGTTAAGGAAGGCCTGAGAAAATGTCAGCGAAGAAAACAGAAAGCATTCGATATGATGAGAGCTGGGATACACACTTGAGACCTCAAAGGAACTTTTGATAAGGCAACACGCACCGGTGGAGAAGAGAAGTGTCGCAATGTGTAGACTGCAGGAGCCCTCTGCCTCAAGGCGACAAAGTTTGAAGAGGATCCCAGAGATCGTACCGCACGAGGTACTGTGCGGGATACGGCAAGACGAGCAGCTGAAAGAAACATCTTGGGTATATCTATATCTACTTGAAGGGCAAAGGAGAAACAGAAAGAAAACAGTTAATTCCAAAAATTCTGCTGAACGATCACGGTGTCAAGGCACCTAGCTAGCTACCAAGTAGATGATAACACGAGCGCCCCGATGCCACGAGCCCGAAAGGACCACAACGACAACATACCGATGAAGATGGTTGTGGTGTTTCGACCTGAGGTTTGTTGGCAGCCATTCCATTCAGAGCTGACAAAGAGATACGCAAATAATGATTTTCAGGACCCACACTTTCCCTCGAACGATACCGGTACACAGTGCGTCCTAAAGTGTTCTGTTCGATAGAATTCCATTATTTATGCACCAGGAAGTCCCCCGATTACGTCAGATAACGACTTTCCTTAGAAAGTCGCGACTTTCACGACTTTGAAAGTCGCGCAACTTTGGAACAACTTTTATCGCGACTTTCGCGACTTTTCGCGACTTTACTAGCATTTTGTTATTTTAACATCGCGACTTTCAATGACTTGTACCGCGACTTCCGCGACTTTCGCAAAGTCGCGCGACTTGACGCGACTTTGGACGCGACTTTAACGACTTCGCGACTTTCCACGATTGCCAATCAGGGGACTTCCAGGTACACACCAATGCGCATGGCCAGGTGGGATTAGCGGTACTACCAGCCCAAAGACCATTTAATTAAGTAATGGTATATTTTCAGGGGCTTGGAGAAAGTTTAATTACAATAAACCAATTGAATACCCCACTTCTCAAGCGTTTACCCATGCAGTTTTGAAACTTTCAAAAAATTATTTATTTACTGATTCCTGGTGTTTTCATCCAGGCATGTAAAAGGTTGTCCGATGGAAACAGTCACGCAGCTAGCTAGTAGTACAGTAACAAAGAACCAACCAGCAGTTTGCCTGGACTTCTGGACCAGTATCCTCCAAATCAGAGCTTGTCATCTTGGTCGAGGCAAACATCCATTGCCAACTAGAAGTCGCCGGTACATAAATAATGGTTTATCTCACCTCGGTCCCCCTCTATATTGCATGTGGGATGACGAATGCTATCCGTCTAGCTTAGCCGGTTTATCATCTAAGAAGGGCATTTTGGGCAAAGTGGATATTATGGGGAAGGTGCACAAAACGCTGAATCAAATTTTAGCGACTCATTTATGTGGGTCCCTTATCATGTCCAAGGGCATTATTTTACCCACATACGCCAAATTATGTACTCGTTCACAGATCATATTGCCCAAATGAACAAACATAACGTCCCTGCGAGTCCGTCATATTTTTGTGGAAGTGCGTCGAAAAAGTGTGCTCCGTACAGAGATCTGGCGGTACGCACCTTTATGCCAGTGCGTGGATATTTGGCGCAAATGCCTCCAAAAAGTGAGCTTGGGTAAGTGATAGGATGGCACGTAGCTTTGCCGGAGTCCCTGGACATTTTGCGCAAGTGCATACAAATAGTGAGCACAAGCCGCAAAGGGGCATTATAGAATTTTACCCAATGGCGCTGAGATCGGATGCAAGATGCCAAAGATCCCGTGCACAAGCCAACACAACCATACCTACATTATCCGTCATTACTTTGCCCAAGTGAACCTGACTACGACAACAATGACAAAGCAGTTTACAACTAGATAATCGTTAACTTAGTTATTAGCTCAGAGAACAGTACCATTTAGTAGGAGAGGGCAATAGAAAGCAGGGCTGAGCAGAAATGCCTTTGGTTGTCGCAGAAACAGTTCGCAGAAAGTTACAGGAATGTGACGCAAACACTGCAGAAGAAATGTCCAATTGGATGAATAGATTTGCCGACTTGCCCAAACCTTTTTCGGAAACCAGGCCAGAAGTTCCATCAGAGGCCGAGAAATGCCCAAATGGGCCAAACAAAGATGCTCTCACATGTAGAGTGATATGCAATTTACGACCGACCTTTCCCCGGTTTATTCTCTTCAGAGCTGTATATGGAATATTGTACTTCTAAGTAGCTGAATCGAAAGAGCACATGTTGTTGAGTATTCCATTAAATTCCCTATTTCATGTGACACATATTGAAGGAGTTATGGGAGTTTGAAAATATCTCCATTTCTGACACGAATTCTTTTTATTTGCATATTAAGGCTGCCTGATACTGAACTACGTAGGATCCTACATACGAGAGTCCTGTAAGATCCTACGGAACACGTAGGAAGCACCACTATCGCTCTGGTACTGAAGCTACGTAGGATTCTACGTACGCACCTCTATCAATTATCATGGTCTTAATCTTCACTCGGTCTTAAAATGACATTTACTCTATGCATCGTCATCTTCATCATCCAAGGTGGTAACCGTCTTGGCCTTTTTAGCCTGGAGCGGCTCCAAGGCGTTCTTGGCTCTGCGCTTGTTGGCCTTGTTGAGTTTCTGCTGTTGCTTGTGGGAGCCACAGGTGTGCCCATTTGCAATGCGCAAAAGCTCCAGAGTCTTCTGCTCCAGACTGATAATGCTGCCCATCTGGGCACTGGAATGGGCCTCTTTCACCTTTTTCTTGTAGCCATTGTAGGCTTCCAAACCATCAGCTTCCCAAGGCCAGCATCAACATTGGTGTACTTCCCTCCTTTGATGGGTTGGGGCTCACCTGGGTGCTCCTTGACCCATTTGTGCAGCTCGGTCCACTTGGCCTCATTGTTGTCCCAAACAACAACAGCCTTGGCGTCATGGTGAGGGGTGAAAATGTGCCTGTTTCGCTGATGGTCTTGTAGAACATAACATTCTTGCCCCACTCAATGGCTCCGAAGACCTTAGGCAAGAACTCTGTCCAGTACCACATGAAAAGCTCCTTTTCCTCTTCAACCTTGCGCAACAGGGGAAATTGGTATTTAAAAAGTGAGTCAAACATTTGGGGCATTAGCATAAAACGAATATGGACGTACCTCCAAATCAATTTGGCGATAAGCACACTTGAGGATCATGGCGGTAGTGGGAAGGGGCTTGACCTTATCCATGCGAGCAAAAGCAACCTTCTTCAACTCCTGAGTAAGATAGTTGCGACGGGCATTAATGCATGCCCTTTACCACCGACTTCTTGTAGGTGAGGAAAAAAGCTTCCTCCTTTTCCGCATCACCTTGCCAGCCTCGACAAACCTCTAAATGCTTGGTGACCTTCTTGCAAGCTTTGCGGATTTCCTCGTCGTTCACCATAAACTTAACGGTGCGCCACAGCTTGTCTTTAGCAAAAGCCAAAATCACTAGAGCCAAAGCCGAGTTTGGTTTGCCCTCTTGGGCCCTAGACCTAGCCAGGAGGTCTGACAACTTGTCTTGCAAAGAGCAATGGCTTTGTCCTGCTATTCTCCAAGTTCGTCTTTTCAGCTTCCAGTTGGGCAATCCTCTTCTTGGAACCCCCTTTCTGGTGTTCCTTCACAACATGACGCATGTAAGCAACTTCCACAACGAGTTTGTCATTTTGGATCTGCAGCTGCTGGGCAATCTTGAGACAAGCACCAGCATTGGCCCGCCTCATCTTTTTGTCCTTCACCTGGGAGGCTTCTTCAACCTTCCGCCGCAATGCCTTGATAGCAGGGGGCAAGAAAATCTTCTTGGGTTGTTTGGCTTCCAGTGTTGATGCAACCGGAGCTTCTTTGGAAGGATTTGTAGATTGTTTTTGGCCACATGCGTCCGATGCAGATGGCTTTTTGGCCCCTTCACTTTGTCCATTTGCGAAAGATTCTTCGTCCGTTGCAGCTTCAAGGGTGGTATTGGATCCTGGAGATCCAGAGGATTGAGAATTGGACTCCAATGAGCTGTCATCTTTGGAAGACGCATTTGCGTTTTCTGATCGCTCCTCTTCGACATCGTCAAGTTGGTGCTGTTCTCCATCCACAGTTGCATCATCGTCAGACTGCTGCTGCTGCTGCTGCTGCTGCTGTTGTTGTTGTTGTTGTTGTTGTTGTTGTTGTTGTTGTTGTTGTTGGTTGTTGTTGTTGTTGTTGTTGGTTGTTGTTGTTGTTTGTTGTTGTTGTTGTTGTTGTTGTTGTGTTGTTGTTGTTGTTGTGTTGTTGTTGTTGTTGTTGTTGTGTTGTGTTGTTG